TGGAAGACAGCAATCTGGCCAAGTAACTAGAATAATTGATATGTGTGTCCATTCCAAAAAAAGGTTATCAAATAGTATGTGGAAATTATCAAACAGTATCATTAATATCACAGGCAAGTGATATTTGGTTGAAGATAATTAAAAAATGGTTGTAGCAGTACATCGATAGGGAAGTACCAGAAATTCAAGCTGGATTCAGAAGAGGGAATGGAATGAGGGATATCAATGCTGATGTCAGATGGATCTTAGCTGAAAGCAAAGAATACCAGAAAGATGTTTACCTGTGTTTCTGAATATGCCAAGGAATTTGATTCTGTAGATCATAACAAATTATGGATAACATTGCAAAGAATGGGGTTTCTAGAACACTTAATTGTGCTCAGGAGGAACCTACAAGACGCAGTTGTTTGAAAAGAACAAGGTTATACTGTGTGGTTGAAAATCAGGAAAGGTTTGTATCAGAGTTGTATTCAATCTGCATGTTGAGCAAATAATCTGAAAAGCTGAATGTGATAGTTGGAGCGGTGTGTCAACTTGGCTGGACCACAATTCTGTGTGATTTAAGCAGCTGTGATGTGGGTTATTCCCATGATGGGATTTGATGTATATGTTTTGAGCAATCAATCCATTGAAAGGGAGTTTCCTTAGGGGTATGGCCTGCTTCCAATATATTTATGGACATCTTGGGAAAAGAGACACTCTTCTGTGGATTGGGATCCTGTTGTGCTGCCTATAACTGTCCATGAGTGAACAATCCACCATTTGGGCTGGAGATCTTGGATTCGTCATTTGTTGCTGCCTACAACTGTCTATGAGTAAACAATCCACCATTTGGGCTGGAGATCTTGGATTCGTCATTCATTGGAGTCAACAGCCAGTAAACTGCCTGCCAACTTTGAGCTCATCTGCCCCTGCAGCTGCATGAGTCGGGAAAAGCCTTCAGCTTAAGGTTTGATCCAAGAACTTGGGACTTGCCAGCTTCTGTAAGTGTGTGAGCCATTTTCCTAAGATAAATTTCTCTCTCTCTACATGTATATGTAAGCTTTACTGGTTTTACTTCTCTAGAGAACCCAGCCTAACACACTGGACTATATGAAGAATGTGGCATCCGGACTAGAGGAAGACTCATTGACAACTTGCAATATACAGATAATGCTGATTGCTGGAAGTGAAGATGACTTGAAGCATTTACAGGTGAAGATCAAAGACTGTGATTCAGTTTGGATTACATCTCAACATAAAAAAAAAAAAAAGCAAAAATCCTCACAACTGGACCAGTAAGCAACATTACAATAAATGGAAAAAAGACTGAAGTTGTCAAGGATTTCATTTTACTTGGATCCACAATCAGTGCCCACGGAAATAGCAGTAAAGAAATCAGATGATGTATTTATTGTACTGGGAAAATCTGACACAAAAATCTCTTTAAAGTGTTAAAGAGTGAAGATGTACTTTCAAGACTGAGGTCTGTCTGATCCAAGCCATAGTATTTTCAATTTGCTCATAAGCATGTGAAAGCTGGACAATGAATAAGGAAGGCTGAAGAAGAATTGGCACATTTGAATTATGGTATCGGCAAAGAATATTAAATATACCACGGAATGCCAAAAAAGAAACGTTTTGGATTAAGTACAGCCAGAATGCTCCTTAAAAGCAAGGATGGTAAGGGTCAGCGCAAAAGAGGAAGACCCTCAACAAGATAGTTTGACAAAGTGCGTGCAACAATTGTGAGGATAGTGCAGGACTGGGTAGTGTTTTGTTCTGCTGTACATAAGCTCACTATGATTCAGAAGTGACTTGATGGCACCTAACAACAAGAACAACATTCTTAAGAGATACTGGCCTGTAGCTTTTTTTTTTTTTTTTTTCTTCTTATGATGTGTTTGATTTTGATATCAGGGTTAATATTTGCTTCTTAGAATTATTTAGGGGGTATTCCATATCAATCTTTTTGGAGAGTTTAAACATAATGTGTCAACTCTTCTCTAAATGTTTGGGGAAATTTGCTGGGGAAGTGATCTGGTTGAGGAATTTTTATTTGGTTGGGAGGTTTTTGATAACCAATTCAATGTCTTGTTATATATATGTCTGTTGAGATGTTCTATATTCTCTTGAGTTAATTTGGGTCTATTTCACCTAGGTTAATCAGTTTGTTGGTAGCTTTATGCTTAGTTTGCTCCTTTTACTAGTTCCTGAATTGTAGAGATAGGCTGTTGATTTGAGATCTGGCTTTTTTTCTCATGTAGGCTTTTATTGGTATATGTTTCCCTTTGAGTACTGCCTTCACTTCAGCTCATAAGTTTTGATATATTCCTGGTTCTTCATTTTAGGTATCAAAGCAGCATCCCACTCTCGGTACCATATTCTGTTCTGGTTACCTAGTGGTACTCTGACAAGAATATACCACAAATATTTTCTGTTAGCTCTTTAATTACATTTAATGTTGTATTATATTCTTCCTTTTTATTATTATTATTATTATTCAGTCTTCCTTGCATGAGATTTCACTACCTTCATCATGTTCATATGAATTGACCATCATTTCTTTTCTCTTTGTGTATCTTGTGATATTTTTGTTGGGGCATTATAATTTTCAAGTGTGTTCAATTTCTCAGTACTCTCCAGTATTTGGTTTTTTTGCTCACAGTAATTTCTACAAAAACAAAACAAAACAAAACCCCTCTTAGGTTGGCAGAGCTTTAGGTTTTTGCTTACTGATTCTTCTGCCTCTCTGTGATAGCTTCTTCTCCCATCCCAGTTTTATCAGGATTCAAAAGTTCTAGATACTGATTTTCAACTTTACATATCTCCCAAACACATCAGAGAACACACTTTAGTCAATCCATCCACTAGTAAGCACTGACACTCAGGAGAGATATCACACACTAACCAATCTGCCCACCAAAGGGCATAGTCTCCTCTCTCTGGTTATTAACTCTTTCTCTTCTATTTCTGCAATCATATTTTCAGTTTGAAAACCCACACCCAACAAGCCCTATTTGGGCTGGGTAATGCCCTTCAGTTTTGTCTAAGGCTTCCCTTCCTGTTTTGGGGGTTGTTATATCTGAGCTGGAATTTGGGGGAAGCAAGGCAGACTGATATGGAAGAACAAAGAAGATATGATGTCTTTTAATTGTGGTGTTGTGAAAAACACTGAAAATACCATGGACTGCCAGAAGAATGAACAAATCTGTCCTGGAAGAAGTGCTGCCAGATGCTCCTTAGAAGTGAGAATGGCCAGACTTTGTCTCACCTATTTTGGTCATGCTGTCAGAAGGAATCATTCCCTGGAGAAGGATATCATGCTTGGTAAAATGGGGAGTCAGCAAAAAAGGGGAAGATCCTCAGCAATATGGCTTGATACAGTGGCTGCAGAGACAGGCTCACATATAGCAAGAATTGTGAGGCTGGAACAGGACTGGGCAGTGTATTTCTTTCTGTTGTACACAGGGTTGATATGAGTCAGAGCTGACTCAACAACACATAACAACAAACTAAATAAATACTGCTGTATTCTTCTGTATCAGGAAGAGGGGCTGGCACTCTCCATAGTGACCTCCAAGAGACCTGTGTTCTTCATTTCGGAGCCCCAGTGGCCCTTGTGGTGGTCTGGGGAGCAGTCTCCACTTTGCTCACCCACCTTCTGGTTCCACTGCAGGGATCTTTCTGTAGGAATTCATATCAGTCCAGCCTTAACCTGATGGGGGAGATGATGTCACACTCCAATCAGAACCGAATGGAGGTCTGCCTTGTTGCTATGAGAGCCCCACTAGTAGCATGTTTGCTGTGAGTGCAGTCTCTATTCAGTACCTGCTTCCTAACACGTAGCAGATTCAGCAATCCTCAGTGCCAACTAGAATGGGGAGCAGTCTGGTTAGAATTCATTCTCTGGGAAGTCTGTCCTGTTGGTTTGAAGGCCTGAGCTATAGGGTGTGCAGGGTGGCAGGTAGAGTGCTGATTATGGGAGCAGACTCAACTGCAGAGGACTTTCTGGAGGAATATGCACCAGCATGGCAGCTTACTGTGACCATGTAGGTGAGAGACTGTCATTCAGTTTATTTTTTTAAATGGTATGATGTAGACATCCAATTTCATTCTTTCCCATGTGGGTATCCAGTTCTCTTAGCACCACTGATTGAAAAGGCTACTCTTTCCTTAATGTATGGTATTGGCTTCCTTACAGAAAACCAATTGATCAAAGATTGCCATTGTACCTATTGCTGTTGAGTTGATTCTGACTTATAGTGACCCATAGGACAGAGTAGAACAGGCCCCACAGGGTTTTCAAGGCAAAAAACGCTTTTGGATGCAGACTACCACATCTTTCTTGCACAGAGTGGCTGGTGGGTTTAAACCACTGACTTTTCAGGTAGCAGCCAAGTGCTTAACCATAGCACCATGAGGGCTCTTTAAGATTGTCATTTACCGTTACTTAGTTCTAAAGTTTGTTTTCTCATTCCTATGAATCACCTCTATGTATTTCTATTTGCTTTCAACTACAACAAGAAATTTTTAAAAAGCTAACCAAAAAGCCAAATGCAATTCAGATTCATCTCTAACAAGATCACACTATATTCTCCAGACATAGGTGCCATATCTACCATAATTTCCTTAACTGGACAAAAGGAAATTTAAAACTTAAATTTCCTCATGATGTATAAAGTAAAATAATGCTTTTTATAGTCTAAAAGTGCCCACTTACCTTTCAGACTACCCTATGGCACAGGATATTCCACCTGCCAACTTGGAATCTGAAGAATGCAGAGTGTGGGAGTTATACATACAAGTTTCTTAGTTACTGGCCTTTGTTTGAAGGCCTTATCCCCACCTTTGGAGAAGCCAACATCTTGAAACTATGACCTTCTCATTTGTAAAATGAAGATAACAATAATAACATAATAGGATAAATGAAAGTACTTTGTACTTTATATGGCATATAGCATTTTGTCAATAAATGGGAGCATGTTAGTGCTCCCCACCCCCAAGAATGACAATCTTACCAAGTAATAACTGCAGGATTGGCACCTGCTAGCTTTCTCTTAGCATAATTTATTTTTTGCCGGGGATACCAATTTTTTTCAGTTATATTTACTTCTTGAATCCATGATCCTCCTTTCTTCAGCATTTTTTGTTCAAAGTTCTAAAGGCAAAAAATATGATTTAATTTTCATTATAAAATTACCTAAGATCATATTCAAACAGGATGAATCTTCAAGAAGTGATCTTAATATAAACAAATATCAATAACTGGGAACAACCCTACAGCTCTTTATACAAATTCTAATTATAATGAGAATATATAGAAAAGAGTGACAATGAACTTGAGTGACTGTAGTTAGGCTTAAATTATCATAGGGAGCTATGAAAAATGAGAATCCCTAAGCTTACAAAATTGGCTGGTTATTACAAAGAACTTTTGAGATTTAAGAAAACAATTGTCTTTATAATGAAAAATCTCATGGAACTGTTTCTAAATTAAAAGTTGTCTCAGAGACAAGATCAGACCCACCCTCACCTTCACCTCTCCTAGTTACCTGTTAATGTTTGCTGTGAGTTGATTCCACCTCATTGCAATTATATAGGACAGAGTACAACTGCCCCATGGGGTTTCCTGAGCTGTAACCTTTAAGACGGAAGGAGCTCCGGTGTTGTTGTTGAGGTATTTGGCTGCTAACCAGAGAGTTGGCAGTTCTTTCTTTTTTTCAATTGTGATTTAAGTGAAAGTTTATAGAGCAAATTCACTTTCTGTACAGCAGTTCACATACACTTTGTTTCATGACATTGAGAAGGTCAGCAGTTCAAACCCACCAGCTACTTTGTGGAAGAAAGATGAGACTGTCTGTTTCCATAAAGATTTACAGCCTTGGATGAGGTGAACATTTACACTAGGTAGATATACTCCTTGGAGAGAACAATCATGGGAGAATAGAAGGGCTGTGTATGCACAGGGAGACAGCTCAGGAAGGAGTGCATAGAGGGAAGGACACAGGGAAGAAGAAACTATGGAGAGAAAGTGGGAGGGGAGCTGTTGCATTATGGTAAATTGTAGTCAATGTCATGAGACAAAATATATGTGAGCTGCTATATGGAAAGTGAATTTGCTCTGTAAACTTTCACCCAAATTTTTTTATTTTAAAAACTGAATTTAATTACATTTTTCATTTATCTAATTGAAGTAGAACAAAACACCAAAAACCAAATCCAGTGCCAAGAAGTTGATCCCGACTCACAGCTAACTCCCACTGGGTTTCCAAGTAGATTGCCCCATTTCCCGTCCATGGGGGAAAAAAAAAAATTACAGCCTTGGAAACACAATGGAGGTTACTATGAATCAGAAATGACTTGATGGCAGTGAATTTGGTTTTTCTGGTTTTGAAATCTTTAAGGAGGAGATTGCCAGGTATTTTTTCCTAAGACGTGGCTGGTGAGCTTGAACCACCAACCAACCAACACAGTTAGCAGCTGAGTGCTTAACCTTTGTGCCACCACAGGACTCCTTTTTCTAGTTACAAATAAACTCACATGAAACAACTGTTTTCTCCAAAGATTTTGTTTCTTACCTGGTTTTCAGTCCAAATGAACCACAAATGTTAATTTTGAGAAATGCTATACAAAATAACGTAAGTATTTCTATAAATATGACTTGGTGTATTTCCAAATTATATAATAGGAGAAATTTAATAAAACACTGGTACATAATAAAACAAAAAAAAAAATCCATAAAACAAAACATACTTTCCAATCGAAGGAAGGTTCCTTAATAAACACATCCATGATGTTTGTGAGTAGGTCTGATTGTGAGCGAAAGGCCCTTAGTATGTGTACCATTACACTGTACATCAGACCCGTTTCCCTCATTGGTAACATCAGATTGATAAACTGGCGAGTTAGACGAAAAGGCATCAATTCAGGCACTGGCAGAAACTAAACAACAGTAAAAATACACGTAAGAAGTAGAATATGTGAACAAGAAATCATAAAGCAGCAGGAACAAATAATACATTTTCTCATAGTTATTATTCATATTTAGAGAACATAAATTCCACATTTCTTAAAAGTCAGCTATATAGATTCACTACGCCACAGACATAGGAGCTCTGGTAGCACAGTGGCTAAGGCACTTGACTGCTAACCAGAAGGCTGGCGGTTCAAACCCACCAGCCACTCCTTGGAAGGAAGGTTGGGCAATCCTACTTCCATAGCGATACTGCCTCGGAAACCCAAGGAGGGGTCGCTATGAGTCGGGGCCGACTCGACGGCAAACAACAACAACAACAACAACATGCCAAAGACTAATCAACACAATAATATTCTCTCAATGCAAAAACCTATATGCATAGCACCACAGAGCCCTCGGAGATTTTAAGTAACAACTTAAATTGCTTGAATTTAATGTGAAAGATTCAGAACAAATTTTGTGCAAGACATTCTTTTAAAATTATTTTTTATTTTAAGAGCTTGTTTTACATTCAACGTAATGCGTACATTTAGTTTCATTCCCCATTCACCATGTCCGACCCTAACCCAGTCTCCTCACCTCCCTACTCTGCAATCCTTCCCCTGTGGCCCTCACAATTAAGCACTCCTGTTTTTCCTGCATTTCCTCAGTTTGAATGTTGGTCCTCTGGTGTCCCATTGTCTATTGCTCTAAGGGATGTATTACCATACAGTATGTGGGTATGGCATTCTGGGTTGAGTGGTCTGCGTGTACATCTTGTTAACAATTGGGCTGAGAGCCCGCCCCTAGGGGTGAGTTTTATTCCAGGCACAGAATGTATTCCAGGGCCATAGTATTGGGAATCTCACCAGATTTCATCTGACCAGTAATTCTGATCATTATTGAGTTTTTGGATTATGTTTCATGTTTTCCCTCCGACTCTATCTAGGATCTCCAGATTTGATCCTTTCCTAAGTGGTTGGCATTGGTAGCCAGGCACCATCTAGTTCTTTTGGTCTCGAGGGCCATTGTGTCCTAGGGCTGATTGCTTCTAAATGACCCCCCCCCCCTTTTTTAGTGTGTCCTTCTTCACTTCCGATGCTAGGAGACCATTCGCTGCATCTTAGATGGCTGCTTGAAAGCTTTTAAGACCCCAGTTGCTACTCACCAACGTAGGATGTGGAGCAATGCTTTTATGTATTTTGTTGTGCCAATTGAGTCTGGTGTCCCCTACTACTATGGTCCTGAGGTAGCAGATCTATTGGATCTCTCTCCCACAGTGTCGGGATGTCTGTGAGGGACTACTCTGTGTCTGTCTTCTATTGTTTCTGTAAGGACTGCAGGTATTTTGTATCACTGGTGTCTGTGCAAGATTAGCCTCAGCTGAATCTACCCTTGGTCTAGAGTATACCTTTGTTCACTGTCCCCCGTTTGATCCTCTCAGGTGTTTATGTTTATCTGAATAGCCTAGTGTTTGGTGTTAATGGCAATGTGGCATTGTGGACACATTGGTTGGTATTAGCATCTGTTGTCTATCTCTTATGTGCACAACTCAGTGTCCTCTCATTTCCCAAAGTTATTATGGTGGTCATATATCCTTCCCATATATCCCTCCCCCTACCCATGTCAGCCTGTAAGCCCCAACTAGCCCTAAATTAATCCTTCCCCTTTCCTCCCCATCCCGGTAACCTACTAGGTGAGTTTCCTTTCCCAGGTAAACCCTTCTCTGTCTTTTTACAGTAATGGGCTCATACAGTACTTCTCCTTCTGCGATCGACTTATTTCACTCAGTATAATGTCCTCCAGGTTCATCCATGTTGCGAGATGATTTGGTTATCCCTCATTGTTCTTTAATGTGGCATATTATTCCATTGTGTGGATATACCATAATTTGGTTATCCACCCATCCGTGGATGGGTATTTAGGTTATTTCCATCTCTTTGCTACGGTGAATTGTGTTGCAATGAACGTAGGTGTACATATGTCTGTTCATGAGCTGTCTCTCACCTCTTTAGGATATATTCCTAGTAATAGAATTGCTGGGTCAAATGGTACTTCTATTTTCAGTTTTTTAAGGAAACGCCATACCGTTTGCCACAATGGTTGTACCATTTTACAATCCCACCAGCAATGCACGAGAGTTCCAATCTCTCCACAACCCTGCCAGCATTTGTTATCTGATCTGTTGAACTTTGTTATTATTGCTGGGGTGAGATGACATCTCATTGTTCTTTTGATTTGCATCTCTCTAATGATTAATAATCGTGAGCAATTTCTCATGTGTTTGTTGGCTGCTTGTATATCTTCTTTGGTGAAGTGTCTGTTCAAGTCTTTTGCCCATTTGTGAATTGGGTTATTTGTCTCTCTGGTGTCGAGGTGGTGAAGTTTTCTGTAGATTTTGGAGGTAAGTCCTATGTCAAATATGTCACAGGCAAATGTTTTCTCCCAATCTGTAGGTTCTCTTTTTCCCTTTTTGACAAAATCTTTCGATGTGCACAAGAATTTAAATTTTTTTCCCCAAGAACCTGAAAATACTTTGTTAATTCAAGTGCTGGGCTAAAAATTTCTCTTGCAGATAAGATAAAAGAGGAAACAGAATAGCTTTAATCAAGTGAGCAATGCAAAAAGTCTTGTTAGCTGACTAGTTGACCTGGGACAGGGACAAGCCTCCCAAGTGAGATTCAATTTTAATTTCTCTGAAATTTTTATCACAATTTACAGATACTCTCTCAATGTGACCTGACATTACAGATTGGGGAAGGGGGGCTTCTGAGAAGTCAGATTGTTTTTAATACAGAGACTATCTTAATCTCTCAGATTCAGAAACCCAGGTCCAAGACTTGTGCCCATTAAGGCTTGTGATAATGCCAATATTTGTAAAAACATATTTTACAGATTTTCAGAAAGTAATTTCCTATGTCTACTGTAGAAATAACATTAAGTCATAAAGTATGCTTGTTAGCAATTTTTCTGGAGTTAGTTTTTGTGTATGGTGTGAGGTACAGATCTTGTTTCATTTTTCTGCAAATGAACCTCCAGTTTTGCCAGCACCATTTATTAAACAAACATTCTCTTCCCCACTTAATGGATTTTGGGCCTTTGTCAAAGATCACCTGACCATAGGTCGATGGATCTATTTCTGGGTTCTCAATTCTGTTCCATTGGTCTATGTATTTGCCATTAAACCAATACCAGGCAGTTTTGACTACTGTGACTGTATAGTAGGTTTTGAAATCCAAAAGTGTGAGACCTCCTACTTTGTTCTTCTTCTTTAATATTGCTTTGCTTATCTGAGGTCTCTTTCCATATAAAGTTAGTGATTGGTTTTTCCATATCCCTAAAGA